CTAATCTCAATCTTAATACAAATCTAGAGTCAATACTATTAAGTAAAATTTTTAACTCCTCTTTTAATTATCAATAAACATTAATAATTTAAAAATCAACTTCTAAACTAATTTCTATTATCAAAATTTTCTTTTTATTTTATAAATTCACACCTAAAATACCCAAAAATTAACAATTGAATCTCTAGCTTAGAATCATAATTCTATAGCCATAATAATTCATTTTTCATCCCAAATAATTATCTAAACCTCAATAAATCAACATATATTTTCAGATTTAATAAAAATTTAGTCTAGGATTTGATCCTTAAACCACAAATTCAAAGATCATCAATAAATTTATACTCTAGAATATTTATTATACTACTAACAACCTCAAAGATTATATTTATTCAACATAAATTCATCCCTCTTCCAGATCTTAAATTTTCTACCACCATAAAATCAGAAACCAAAGAGGAAGGATGACTAAGAAAATTTTTTAGAACATATACTTATTCTTGAAAAGCTTGAAATCTCACCCTAAATATTTTATTAAAAATTCTTATCTTAAAACCCAGCACTGGTGAACTTGCGCATCGTCGCCCCCTCTGTTCGCGCACAAAGAGAAATGAAAAAAAAGGAAGGAGAAATGAAGAAACGAAGAATGAGGGATGGGTTTTTTTTAAAAAAATACTGTGGATCCCACATTTTTTATTATTTTCCTCTTTCCTCTCTCTTCTTTTCTTTTCTTTTTTTTATTTTATATGTGTGATGATTTCATGCGGCGCCGAAAGTTTTCTTGTTCTTCTCCTTTCCTGTTTTTATGCCTTTTCTTTTTTTATAATAATAATAATAATTTAATTTAATTAATTTTTTTTAATTAATTAATTTTTAATTAAATTTTTTTATTTTAATTTAGAATTATATCCTAAGTTAGATTTAATAATCATCTCCTACTAATTTGATTACTTTTAAATATTTTTGAAAATTTCTATTAACCCAAATTAACTATTAAAATTTAAATTGGGATGTTACAGAATGCCCTTGAGCTCTTCGAAGGTACTCTTGAGGGATTCGTACTAACTTTTAAGAGATTCTTCTTTTTATTGAGCTCTCTATTTTATTGCAAGCGTTTCTTTCTTTGAGTGTTCCTGGTAGAGTTAAGTTTCTAGCTTGTTGATCTCAGCTCATGGGTAACGTGAATCGAAGGGGCTGCACATATGCTGGGGATAGAAGACGAGGCTTGTCATCGTGCCCAAGAAATGTTGACGATGAAGAAAACAAAGAAAGGTGAGGAAAAAGCAGGAGGAAAAACATTTAAGAGGGGAGGGCATTTTTGGTATTTTACTATTAAAGTCCTTTACGTGGTGTCCTGATAAAGATACAAAACTAGGTGCATTTTTGGATGCTTACTATTTAAGTATTGTAGCTAGCCAAATTTTAGATTTAGAATTGATTATTTCAATTGATAACCATGGTAAATAAATATATCAACATGGTAATGATATTCAATTATCATAAAATTCTTATATTAATTATATCTTTTTATTGCAATGCTTGATAAAGTTTATTAGTAGTAATTTTTACAATTTCTTTTATCAAATATAAAATAAAAATAAAATCAAATAACATCAATACTTTAAGAGTGTGTGTAGTATTATCTTGTTAAAAGTAAGTAAATTATATGATAATTACATCTTTTAAAACAATTACTAATTAATAAAATGGCCTATCTTTTGCTCAAAGGGGGAAAAAAGAAGAAATAGTTATAGTGTACATACGTAAAGGACTACATATAAAATTAAAATGATAATTCAATCTAATATTTTAAGGCTTTTATAATGTGCTAATTTGAAAAGTTAAAAATATATAAACTCTACATTTTACTAAAAGAAAACTAAAAATTCGGGGGGGCCATGGCCACCCCTCATTCCCTCTGTTTCCACCCTTGCTCAAGTAAACTTCCACCTATTTATGATTATATAAGTTCAAGGCACATATGCATAGGTATATCCATATTCACATCTTAATATTTTAATAATTCAAAAACTTGCATGCATTAATCATTACATCTTTTATCATACCTAATTCAAACTCATAACTTCGTGTTCACAGCATCAATACATACCTTGTTCAAGCTTAACAAATCCAAAATCATATAATCATGTGGCACATATTCCTATCAATAATAATTTCAACATGTAAGAATGAGTTTCACAACTCAAGTAACAACCATTAACACAACATAGTCATACTTGTACTTCTATAATGTATTCCATGCCATCAATAACAATATAAAATTACAACTAGTAAACACAATTGTATACTAAAATAAAATTTCCATTATCTCTATTGTTGGGCTACTACCTCTAGAGTACACTGGATTGCTAAGGGAGTTTCCCACCAACGTAAGCTCCAAAAACAATTGCTTTACAATAAATGACCAATATTCAACTCAATAGCTAATCGCAATCAATTAACTCTTAATAAGTAATACCTTCATTAAGCATGATTAATTAAAACAAATCCTGAAACCCACTTTCATTAGTTTATTTAACTTAAACTAAACTTAATAATCACTACAAGCTAACCTCATTAGCTCAAACTCAATTATTTAGCATTAGGGTCAATCTTAAACCCCTAATTAATGACATTTAATGCTGTCAATTACTTAAACTAGAGGTAAGAAACTTAAATAACTCTTATTAAACTCTATTGAAGTTACTAGAGTGGCTCCAAATTTCCTTTCCCAACAAATATGAAGTAAAAGCAAGGTAGAGGGAGAAGACATAAAGAGGAAGCTTACTCAAGAGATTAACACCTTTAAATAAGCTATAAGTAGCCTCCGATATGAACCCTAGCAGAGCCCTTGTGCCTCCCTCTTGGATTTCTCTCTCACACTCTCTCTTTTCTACGTCATAGAACTATAGAATAGGAATTTAAAATCTCATTGTATGCGTTGTAATGTAAAGTATCATTCACTATGGCGAATGACCCAAAACAGACAATATCACTTAAGCCTGACTATTTAGGTCCTAGATAGCCCAATACCTCTTAAGCCCTCTTTTAGACCTTATATTGGGTCTAATATATCCAAATGATTATCTAAACTTTCTAATGAACCCCCAATTATCAAAATTAATTAATTAAACCTCTTAATTAATTAATTAACCTTTATATTAAATTTTTGAGATGTTACATCTACCATTGAAGCGGAGGATCGAGGCTCTTTACTTTCAAGCATGGTGGAAATCATGAAGAAAATGGTGATTGCATATCATGATGAATTGAGAAGAAAGGCTCTGTTGTCAGAGTGTATAATGAGAGAGGAGGCAGCGGGGAAGACGGCTGAGTGCTCATTTGGATTTCAATTGGGTATAATAGATTATAAAAATAATTGATTAAATGATAGATTTCAATCATAATTGATTATGTTATAACGTAATCTGTTTAGATACTTATTTTCTGAAATTAATTTTAACAGAATTGAATATGTTTGGATAATTTATTCAGAATTAATTTTAATTGTATAAATTATCGTAAAAGACATTGCATTTTAAAATTAAATTATTAATAAAATTATATTTAATATTATTAAAGCTGTTATATTTTATTTAAAAAGTAAAATATATTATTGGTTTTATTTTTATTAAATTTTGATATATTTTATTTAAAAAGTAAAATATATTATTGGTTTTATTCTTATTAAATTTTGGACTTTTTTATAATTTTTTTTGAATCTTTCTCTATAATTTTTTCCACCGCTTTTTGATCGATTTTGTGCAGAAGATCGAATTGCTAGCTTTTTAAAAAAAATCAATTTTAATCAAAATCGATTAAATGAAAATTATGCGTTTGAGCATTTTTTTTGGTTAATCAATTTTTTCACTAAAAAAATTAATTATTTTGCTTAACCCAACAAGCACTGAATGATCAAGAAGCAGAGAAAGGTTGCGACTGCTAAGGCAAAAAAAAAAAAAAAAAAAAGTCAAATCTCAAGAAAATGGATCGGGTTTACGGGCATGGACCTGGCCCAGGTATTGTGATAGAAACTGAAATATACCTTAAATAATGCACTTTATTAAATAAACCACTTGGACTGGGGTTGAATATCTTACACGGACAATTGCCACACAAGGCTCGGTGAAAAACCAAATGGACTAATTAACAAGATATATATAGCCCATCCGAATCAAGAAACAAGAACAGGAACCTAAAAACAAGGAGTGTGAATTATGAATAAACCCAACAAAGCATTAATCTAACTAGCATGACCATCAGGCACGCAAGCCTGATGCACCAATGTATGCCCAATGCACAAAATCAATACAAAGTACTGAAATTGGACCCATTCTTAGCCAACTCTCAACTATTGGGCTAGTTGAAGCCGTGCAGAAAATGATCCTCACAATCCACGCGGGTGGGATTGAGGAGCATCAGGCAAGAGCTTATCCACCACGCGAACTCCTCCCTAGATGAGTAGACGTTGATAGTTTTTTTAAATGCACCCTATTTTTCTTTAGCCAGAATAAATGCAACTTAATTTAATACTTATGCAAGTTACTTTTTTTTAGATATACATTATATTTAATGCTAAAAATATTAACTGTAAACAGTGTAATTTGTTAAATAAATTTTGGAATCAAAGTTTACAAGTATCAGTAATGAAAATATTTGAATCCTGTTAAAATTAAAATGTAGGGGGAAAAGACCGAATAAAAATTTATAAAAAAAATGGATACAAATTAGTGCGATGTCATGGAAATTTTATTTATATTTGTGTCAATAATAATGGGCTAATTTTTTTTTTTTGGACCAGAATAATAATGAGCTAACTCAAACACATCTATGTTTATTTTATTTTTTAAAATTCAGATTTGGAAGAAACGTCCGGCTGTGAGGATAAAAGAGTAGTGGGCGTACAAACACGTGGCCCTGACGGCTGGGGTCCTACCAGGAGTGCACAGTAGGGCGACGCAAGCGCAACCACTATATGCGTCGATGAGCTGTCACTGGGTGCCTCAGATCCACGAACCCTACCTGCTTTATGCTATTTCTACGCCTCCAGCCCGAAACTTCTCGCTGCTTTCGAAATATCTCCCACACGCCTCTTCTGCAAACTCCTCTGATTTGCTTTTCCCACCGAAACAAACACAGCCTCTGCACGAACGGATTCTCTCTGTTTTTTTTTTTTAATTTGTTTCGCTTTTTTCATATTTTTCTGATCTTCTGCTCGAGTCCTTTCATTCTCGTCGCCGATTAGGATATCCGATTGATTCGGTTGTAAATCTGATTGTTTTTGTTCGATCCTCCTTTTTTTGATTTCTTGGCCTTAAAGTGTTAATTGAAGCAGAAAATCTGAGATTTAATATGAAGCGGGCAAGGAAATCGAACAGGGTTTCGTGGGCTCCTGGATTTAATCTGTGTCAGGTATATATAACTGCAACATTCTTTCTCAAAATTTCCTTCGTTAGGGGAAATTTTTGTTTTCAATTTGTTGGTTGATTCGTGACCCTTTTGGGTTCTACGACGTTCGATATATTCCAATTTGTTCTTCTTTTGCTTCTTCTCCCCCTCACATTACATAATGTCTCCTTTTTTCTCATATTGGTCCTTGTCAATTTGGATTGGTAGCTCCGACGGCACAGGCCATTCCGCTAACATAAAAATAATAAAACAAAAAGACTCTACTAAAGTGGATCATCTATTGAAAAATTTACAATCTTGATCTAAGCTCTAAAGTATTCCTTATAAATTTATTTTACCAAGGATAAAAGTATCATATCTCAGTAAAATTTCGGTACAGCGCAATTTATCCCTGAAACCGTGAAGTTGAGATAAGTTTTATCGAAAAATAAACTCTGATTTAGAAAGTTTTCTTCTAGATCGAAGGGCAATGGTATACTGTGCTTTTCTTTTGGATATTCTTGTTCATTTTACATCTACAAGGGATAAAATCAAGCAAGTTGTTGAAGATATTAGGCGCTGAGCAGCCAATTTTAATCATATTGGCAATAAGGGGGTTGTACAACCCTGCGATTGCCGTTAGTCAGGATAATTAAAATCACGGCAGGAAAATCTTTCAAGTTCTGTTAGGTAGTTGTTTACCTTGAATAACGTGGAAATAATTTATTCGACTGAATATATCATATATTGATAATCATATCATAAACTACCTAAAATTGTACTAAATATTTCACCTGGCTCTGAAGATTCAACCCTTTCAAGAAGGTTGTCTAGAATGCCTACTATGTACTTGATATTATAAACTACCAATTATATTTGATATTGGACATTGATGAGTCACAAAGTTCAACATCTACGGCCCCCAATCAATTGAGAAAAAATGGGGGTGCTAGGCATGGCACTATTTGAAATTCTAATCTGTTGCTGTTAGGTTAAACATTGAATCTGTTTCTCTATTGCCGGATATTGATTTCTTATGCGCTATTATAAAAAAGATGTCATTACAAAATAATGCTAAGCTTATTAAAATCTTCCACCATATTTTCCTATCATTCGTCAAACAGAAAGCAGATATAAAAGATAACAAGAATACATGGAGTCCAAACTGTCATCTCGAAGGTGTTTGCTATATGTTGTTTGGACGACCTAGATGAGACATGTTTAAGTTTAACGGGCTATGCTACAATGAAGGTTATTCCCCTTATATAATCTAATATGACTCTGATTGAGGATGCTCACTAATGAAACTTAGAGCATGCTTAGAGTGATGGGATTTCTGGACTTGTTAATGTGTGCATGAGCCAATGGATTTATCAAATTAATATGCATTTGCTAAATGAAATTCTTGCCTTTTATCTAATTAAGTGACAAATGCGGATGCTAGTTGCTTCAACTTGCATGGTATATGAATGAAAACAGATATGGTCATACCTTCAAAATATTTGGAATTATGCCAAGTTTTTATCAATTTGCTTGTTATTTCATGAAAAGCTTAGTATGTTTGCCGGTGAAAATTTTGCTTTTCTTTAATTTAGAGTCAGGCGCAAGAAGATGGAAGGCTTAGATGAAAAATGTATAGATGCTATAGCTGTTGCCAATTTTGTGATTGCTTTTTTAATCTGTACAGTCTGGTAGGGGAATGAAATATTATTTTTTTACTAGTAAATAAATGCTCACCTGATGATTGCTGCTGTGTGTGGAAAATACTGAGGATTTTGTCAAACAGCTGAGAAAAATAGTTCTGCAGAATGTTATATATGATTCAATTAAGGCCATTGTAAAACTAATTTGACAAAAGGTGGGAAACTGGGAATAAAAACAATCAACTCAACAAATCTGTACTTTTGGCTGGAGTTTGACTTGCGATAATGGCTATTGGATACTTCTGTACAGTTATCACTCTAAAGTCTGTATTACACAGATTGTTTGGTTCTGTATTGTCGCCAAACTGGTGCTTGAGTCTGGCACCTTTGAACCATGACATGATTATTGGTGACATAGTCGTCATTAGTAGAATATTTGTATAAAACAATAAAATTACTAAATATATAATTGTAGTATTACATTGGCCTATATATGTGCTTGTCTTGTATCATGTGTGGAGAGCTGCTTTGTATGAACTTGAACAGGAACAATGGTCTTATCTCGATTGTATGGATAATTATTTACAAGAGTGAGAAAGACCGTAATTATATTCTTCATGGTCATAAAATTTTGTATGATCTATTAGTGTATCCAGGGATATTGAAGGTCTTTTATTGACTAGGATGGACTAGAGGTTGAAAACCAAGTCAGTGCCTAATTGAGCATTTTTTCCCAAGAAAGAACAAAACTCCTCTAAACTCTATGTTGAATATTAATATAATGTGGTTAGCTGTTATCTTTTGAAACACAAGATTATATTACTGTTAATGTTTAGAACTGTCAAAATTGCAAAATAAGTTATGGACATTTTTACGGTTTCAAACTTTGGAATATTCAGAAAATTTTATAAGTTTAGGCCTTCAAACTACTGTACTTTTGAAGTGTAGATTGTAGATTTAAGGTGACTTATCATTTATGGTCTGTCTTTCTTGATGAATTGAGAACGGTAAAATCATATCAGCTTAAGTTAGGCAGAGTAGTATATATTAACGTTCTGCATTTAGAAGTACATCTGATATATTCTGATAAATCTTAGGCAGCACAATGAAATATTAATTTGGTTACTTTTTGAATGTTTAGTCTATAATGCTGCAATGAATCTTTATGGTTTGTTCTATATCGTTTATGAACACTTCTGTTACTTCATTGCAGTATGTAAGAAGTTGTTGTTGGCTCTTCTTTTTTCCCCCCTAAGTTTTATTGTTAGATTTTTTTGGGAACTAATACTAGGGATGTAACAGGTGAAGTTGTTCTTATCTGAGGATTGCCCTTCGAAAGTTAGCCAGACATCTCAAGACCTTCTTCAAGCAAAGACATCATCAATTTTGCATTCAAGCACTAATGAATCTTATGATTTACCTCCTGGCTTTGAAGGCAATAATTCTTTGAACCATATTAGGAATGAACTCTCCCACTTTTATCAGATTAAATGGAAAGCTCCTCCCCTGGTAATGAGTCTAAAAGATGTTGATCTCTAGTAATAATTCACTTTCCAATGATTATATCTTTCAATTGTAACTGGAAAATGATCTTTTCTGCTGTGGTGTTCATTTAGGTATTTTCAGAGTTTAATATGTTTCATATGTTAGCTCTGTAAAGTCAATTGGCTCTGTATTCCTCGTTTACTTACTTGATTTGTTTTATTTTTCAATCAGTTTGCTCTCAGTCAAAATTGGCTAGTTGCAGCTGGTGAAGAAAGTAAGGAGAAAGTAGATCAAAAGCTAAGAGAAATGAAGGTGCTTGAAGCAGTATATCCTCGCCCTTCAGCTATTCCTCCAAGGTAAAATGCCACAGAAACTAAGAAATCCATTTTCTATTTGATTCCGTTTTTATTGCTAACCTTGTTGATCTCCATTTGCTTGCAGTCCATCTGTTTCTTTAGATGTACAGGAGGAAGACTATGATGATAACCTCACTCCTCTTATCCCTATCGTTCCCATTGAGGAAGAAGAGCTTATGGATGTTAACCCTGAATTGCCAGCAACAATTGACACACCCGCCACTTCACAGGCACAAAGTTTGCACCAGTACATATCTACGACAGATAGACCCATATGTTCACAGCCTAGTACCTCGTCCTCTCTAGCCTTAACTGGGACATCTGGTTTGGAAGCAGAACTTGCTGCAGCTTCTGCTGTTGCTGCTGCCATCATGAACAGTAATGAACAAGGCAGCTCAGTTGACATGGATCTACTTGTTAGAATACTTAATGATCCATTATTGATTGCGAAGTTGAAAAGTGTTCATGATGGAGCTGCAGTGACCACTGTGAATACATCGGCAAACATAGTGGGTTTATCTAGTTCTGGATTCAAATGCACTTCTCCATCAGTTCCATCACCTCCGCTTAGACCTGATAAGCCAACTTCTGGGGTTAATCCCTCAAGTACTGTGGGTTTATTTCCTGATTCTGGCTTGGTACCAGCTACTTCATCGGTTCCATTGATGCATGCACTAGATAAGCCAGCGACCCAGTCACTTCCTTTTTCTGGGGCTATACCAGGGAAACTAGCAACTCCTTCAGCTCCATTGCCTTCACATACAACTAATGCTGATATTCACAAGCCTGTGAACAAAACCACTGACGATTTGTCAAGTGGTTGTCTGCTTTCTGTTCAGCAAGCAGCGTCTGTGGCTTCCATTTCATCCAGGGAACCGAGCATGGTACCGTTACCTTCAACAGGTGTGAGCATGCATGCAGTAGTAAACCAGGTGCGACCCCTTGCAACTACATTGGCTTACCGACCTAGTACCGGCTCAGCATTTGCTGGGAAGGAAGCTCATCCTGTGAGGGATCTCAGCTATTATAAGAACCTTATTAGGCAACATGGGGCTGATGATAATAATACTAGGCAAGAGACTCATGACTCCCAAATAGCTATCCGTCAAAGTAATTTCAAGGATTTGAAATCGGTTCATAGCAATAAACCGGGAGAAGTGAATTTCAAAATCCAGAAACCTTGCATATACTTCAAAAGTTCAAGAGGTTGTCGAAATGGTTCCAATTGCCCTTATCAACATGACATGTCAGCTCAATGGGGTCCTGTTCACATCCTAGGGTCCCAGAATGCAAAAAGAGCTAAATTAGGACCAGAAATCAGGGGTAGAACATTAATTTAGATAGCCTTTTTGGAATGGTAAAAGTAGAAGTGTATTGCGTTTCACAGTGTACATAAAATTTGCAGCGGGAGGAAGTTTAAGGAAGGTGGAGAGGGAGGACTTGTGAGAATGAGGAAGGGACATTATCATTAAGGTTTCATGGGTGGTTTATATTGAGTTTAGATTTTGGAATTAAGAGGACCACTGTGGTTGGGTCCCTGGTCATATAAATTTTTTACTTGGTCCGCAAGGAAGAAGAGAGGAGTGAGAATTGATGGAATTTTCAAGACAACTGATATGTTGGTTTCTGCAGCTAGGGGTGACCTGAGCAGTGTGTCCTTTTCATGATGGTGATTGCTGACCCTCTGGACTTCAGTGGCTATTCATAATATTTTATGCATAAAAAAAAGGGTGAAAGTTAATGATGTCAAAAGAAGACTAATCAGTAAACAAAATGCATAAATTTCTGAAAGAACTTTAATTTGTCTGGGATAATGATATTTGGGGACCTTGCAAAACGAATAATGGGGCTAAGGACATTGACTTAGGAAAAAACCAGAAGTTAAAGTTGGAAAATACGGAAATGATTCTATACTCCTATAATTCATTTTCCCAATTTTTCATTGGGAGTTTTGAAGGTTTGCGTGGCACCACTGAATCCTAAAAGGTAAAGAGTGGTAGCTAGAAGCCAAGGACACATGCTCAACGCGTGATGATCCAAAACGAAAATAAGGCCTAGTAAGTATTGCCCTGGCAACAAAAGATAGTTGCGGCACTTGTTTCATATCCAGTAAAACATTTGAATATATGGTTACTTGACTGTTTGTTTAACTAAAGCCTTGTTAAACATTCTCATTCTTTAATGTGCTTTCTTCCATTATGGTTTTTTTTTTTAAAAAAAAGATCTTGACACTAGATTATAAATGCTAATGTCAAATATTCTTATGGGAATTGTATCATGATCTTTTCTAATCGTGTTAGTTGTTTAATTGGCGAACGAAGGGGAAAAACTTGAAATTTTGTGCTGTGGCTGAAATTAAAATGAGTTGAAGAGAGCAAGTAATGGCAATTTGTTTTGTATACAAGTCTTACGCGGTACATTGAGTAATGCACCAATGCCACCGCTTAAAAAAGGGAGGCTGAGTGTATTACTAGAATTATTTTTTAAACATTAAAATGAGATTATTAAAAGGTTTTAAAAATAACATAAAAGTTTAACTTGGCAGAAAAGTGCAACTATCCTTAATTTTCCTCTGTATTTTTTTTTTTTTTACATTAACATGATGTCATTATGTTAGAGAAAGGTAAGTGATTCCTCACTTCAAGCTATGATGTTAGATCTTTTTTAATATATATTTTAATATGACGGTACTATGCAGACAAATTCTTGAGAGGCCTTTGCCAACAATTATTGGGAGACTTAGGCGTCACTGTTCTCGGGTAATATGATATTTGTAATGTCCATTCCAACATTATTAAATATACAGAACACTACATATAAAAAATGTATGATAACGAGAATTAATTAAATTTTTTAATAAGGTTATCATAATAGAAGGGTTTAAAAAATAGTAAAGAAATTGAGATCTTAAGAAAACATTTTTAAAAAATCATTTGAGCTCAAATTATAATTCAAAACAAGTTACAAAAGATGGTGGAAGCAAGAAAATCAAATAACTTCCCAAACAAACACTAAAAGAGACATTTTTTATTACCCTAAAAGTGCTCCATTATCTACTGTGGTAGATGGCACAAAGAACCTAAGGTTCTCGCTATGCAATGTGTCATGGTGTGTCGCTATTGTCATGATAGCACTTCGAATCTAACTTTTGAAGCGAGTTGTTTTGCTATTCGACATCCATTTTGAGTGTTTTAAGTGTCCACAAGTAGCTTTTCAAGCATTATAATTATTGGCATCAGTCTCACACTCGAATACTCAACCATTTAAAAGATGGACACCCAAATTCAAATTGGTCCATTTTCAGTTTAAAAACACACACTATCCATAACCTACAACCTAGAGCTAAAAGCCGTGGAACCACTTGGACTAAATTAGATCACAAACGACTTGATAGACTAATTATAGCACACCAACAACAATCCAAACACAAATTAACTATCAAAACCCTAATTTCATAATAAATTTAAAAGGGTATCTATAATCACCATGAATATCATTTTGGCCAATCCAATGCATCAACAATACAAATATGTCACTTGCACTAATATTTCAATCTCTTATAACAATTTCAATACAGATATATCATTCTAGGTGAAGATACACATCTATACACCACAATGTTCATGTAAGTGAATACAAAATAATGAGTGATCCTAAATTGGCATAGAATTCATAAGCTATTCGATATAATACCAAAACATAAAAGGGAAAAGATATACGAATAAAGCTCTTCAACCCTCGATAATTCCTTCCTTCCCTTTGCCCCTCCCAAACCCCTCACTTGTAAAATATAATCACGAGGTGAGATAAACATCTTAGTAACATAATAATTTATAATTATCAATTAACATGCACAACTATAAGCAAGTAAAGCTTATAAATGTAAAAACACTTGTTTAACATATTCAAACATAAACATTTCTCTAATCATAGGTCATTTTCACTTTAGCATAATTATTATATCATCTGAGCCTTTATATCACCTCAATTGAAACTAAAGGCTTTATTAAACTAAGCCCACATACACAATAGCTTGAGCTTGCCTTCATTGGTAGGATCAATCAGTCAAAGGTGTCCTATCTCACTTTCAAACTATGATTTCTCCCTATCACACACGATTTGGGAAGTCGTTACTCCAATACCACATCACACTGATGCTAAGAAACACAAATCCCTAACAATGTACCTCATATAGACACTAAGGAGATAATCTCTAATGCCGTACCTTACTAGCCATTAAGGAGATAAATGTAATATAAACTTTCACTATTCCTTCTTATGGGTGAACTCCTTCCCCTTATCATAATCATGCACACACTTTTATGAAATTCATATATTTGCATCCAAATCATAATTTACACATATAACAATACTTTCACAAATTCATTGTTTTTAAAAGTCATTTTCTATACACAAAATTCTCATTTTGCTATATACAACACTTTCAAATATAGGCATGCGAAATTACAAATCTACTCACAAATAATTAAACACTTAATTAAATAGAGTGAATTATTTTGTTATCTCAACCCTTTGTCATAAATAGGGTTATCGTGGTCTAAATATGTGCTCCAGAAGGCCCACATGTGTAACAACATTTGAGCAATATATATTTTACACGATTTAATGATAATCATTAATTATCACTCTAATTAGACTCTGAAATCACTAAATTTTGGGTATCTATTATACTTAAAGATCTCATTTTATCAATATCAACTCTTTCAACACACTCCATTAATCCTATTTAGCACCCAAACACTCAAATAATATCACTTCTTTACCCACATTACTCCCAAATACCTAAATTCCACTTAGTGTTCGTCCAAACCCTATCTAAAAATTTCAAATTATTACACGATTCATAAACCTAAGTTTAGAAGCTTGATTTAACTCCTTAAGTTTTCAACTAAGACAATGATTTCAGTTATAACCCAAGGAGACGTGAATTAAGCCTTAACCACACCCAAATTTACCAAAAACTCGCATGGAAGAGAAGGGAGAAGAATAAGAAGTTTATCAATGTGAATTCTAAGCTCAACACACTCCCAAAGTGACGTTGGAAGTAAGCCCTAGTAACCCTCAAGCCTTCCTCCATCGCCTCTCTCTTGATTCTTTCTTTTCTCTTTCTGAAATCAAACGTATTTCACGTATGGTTTAAATCATAATTTGGCCATGTGTCGTGGCACAAGGTGCATGCATTGCGACACATGACATAGCAAGTGCCATATGTTGTTTTGTCATCGCATTCAAGCCCGATTGATCCTTACACCATCTTAACTCATTTTTAAGGCTGTTCAAATATCTAATAACTTTATTAGTGTCCCAAAAAACACCATGAATTTATATATCACCTAATTTGACCAATTTATCATTTTGAAATTCTGAGAGCTTTAAGTTAAAAACTTAGAATGTTACAATATTAATTTCTATTATTTTTTAAACCCTGTAAAGCAAAATGTCATTATAACAATTCTTCCCTTCGATTAACTACTAACTGTTATTAATCAATTAGAAGTTTTTAATTATTATTTCTTTAATAAAAATAGCGTGCAATTTTTTTTCTTATGAACATTGATTGGCACCACGGTTTATTTATTTTGCATGATTGCAAATGTGATTTCTTTTTTCTTTTTTTTTTTCCTTTTTTGCATGAAGGATATCCCTTAACCGACAATCATAAACAAATTCCTTTTTGAGACGTGAAGATTTTGGAAGAGAATCTTGCTTCTTCCAACAAAGTCCATAATCAGAACTTCAAAACTTTTCACATATTTATAAGACCCTATATGTCATATATTCTCCATCTATAATACAATTAATAAGAGAATTTATGAAAAAATAATTTAATGCTATTGCTTTTGTTTTTTAACAAAAAGCCTTATGTTTTGAACAAATCTAACTAACAGAAAATGTTGTATGTTTTGGACCGGCGATGAAAACAAAATGAGGGGGGAAAATTGAAGTCATTATGTATAAAGCAAGACTTCTATCGTATCAATTTCACGGGACAACTTAGCATTGATTTTTCTTTTGGCCAAATAACTTAGCATTGATTATTATAACCAAGAAGCCATATTCTCCCGTGAATGGTACTATCAACGTGTATTATTTTTTCTTCATTAATTTTTTTTCTTATTGAGTGTTTCTAATAAAATTATAATAGAACACATTATTTATTTATTGACATTTATAATAGAGTGTTGTAAATGTTATTATATATTGTGGATCTCCATATCCTTAAAAGTTTTTTAAAGTAATTATATTTGCCTTGGAAATATTGTGAAAGAGCAAGTGACACCCTGGAGTGTAATAATGTTAAGCAATTAGTATGTTTCTTCACATATGGTACCATGTTAACCGGAAAATGTCTAGTTGATTTATTTTTTAAACTATCCATTGACCCATGACAACACTATTAATTGACAATTAGTACAGGTTGACCATCCTTTTTTTAACTAACAAATGCCAATTAGTAAGCCGAGTATCATTCATATTTTCCCTTCTTCTTCTTCTTTTTTTTTTTACCAAAGCATGCATGTGTTAATGACTTAATGTTGACCACTAATTTGAGATGAATTTTTTCCCCCAAAACCAACTTCAAACACTTCCATGAGATTTGGACCGTTTAGATT